TTTTTTAAAGATCATTCTTATTTTTATATAATTTTAATATTAATGATTTATTTATTTTTATGTTATGTGCATTGGTTCTTTGCCTACATGTATATCTGTGTGAGGATGTCAGATCCCCTGAAACTGGAGTTATAGACATTTGTGAGCTACCAACTGGGTGCTGGCAATTGAACCCGGGGCCTCTGGGAGAACAGCCAGTGCTCTTAACCGCTGAGCCGTCTCTCCAGTCTGAGGGAGTTTTTCTTGATTAACTCATGTGAATGGGAAGACCCAGTTCTAGTCGGGATCTCTAAGGTGAAAAGATACATCTTTAGTTCAGATCTTTTGAGGTGGGAAGATCCACCTAGAGTCTGGGCCACACCTCCTGGGGGCAGCCTGTAAACGGGACATGGAGGAGAGAGGCTTCTGCTCTTTGCCTGCCTGCTCTCACTCTCACTAGCAAATCCATTCCTTCACTGGTATCAGAGCCTGCTTCTTCAGAATTCCAGCATGTGAGGAAGACTGGTTGAGACATCCAGCCTCATAGACTGAACAGCTACTAGACTCTTGGGCTTTCCATTCATAGGCAGCCATGGTTGGACCACAGCCTGTAAGCCATTCTAGTAAATCCCCTTTCTATATATATAGAGATTCATTCTATAAGTTTTGTTCCTCTAGAGAACCCTGACTAATACAAGATCTTATATCAAAACAAATAAACAAACAAACAAATATCAAACAACAAAACCACCACCACCTCTTACAGAGGAGCTATGGACGGTTGATGGTTTCTGGGGAGGGAGAGGCAATTTTCTTTAGGGATGTGACTCCTGGTTGCTGGACCGTGTTCCAATAGATGGCCCCACACCAGGAGTCTGTGGGCAGCACAGTGGGTTATTTAAATTAAAAAAAGAGGACATGAAGATGGGGGCTAAGGAGATAGGAGTGGATCTGGAGGAAGTTAGAGGGAGAGTTGGGGTAAATGTGATCAAAATACATTCTATGAAATTCTCAAAGAATTAACAAAAAAAAATTTTAAATTATAATATAAAAGGGGAAGAGGAAGGAGGAAGAGTAGAGGGTAGATGGAGGGAGGAGAGAGGAGGTACCCAAGTCAGCTTTCCAGAGTTCTAGGGCATCAGCTGACCCCCCTTGCTGAAGGGTCAGCACAGCTCCAATCAAAATCTCAGAGGCATTTTTAAAATTAGAAAATGACAAACTGATTCTAATTTTACATCTAGATCAAATGAACTAAGAGGGCTGTGAGGAGCCAATGCTGCTTTGCAAGGAGAGGACAAAGCTGGAGACCCGCTGCTTGGTTTCAAGACCTCGTGGACTCCCCAGCAGCGAAGACCCTGGCACTGCACACTGATGAGCACTGCCCAGCCCTGGGCCAGAAGTCATGTGGCAAACTGATCTTCCACCAAGGCACCGTGGAGATTTGGTGGGCGAAAGAAAAGTCTTTACAACAGATTGGAATAAGGCACCCAGCGGGGAAAATTACAATTCAACCCTTGCCCTCTATGTAAAAATTAACTCAAAATGCATCCAACACTACATACAAAGCTTAAATTACAATCATTTTTCCAGACTGAAAAAAAAAGGACAAATGAGGCCAGAAAAATATCTCTGTGGCAAGAGTGCCTAAGATCCAGCACCCACATCAGGCCTTAGCTCCAGCTCCAAGGGGATCCAAACTGCAATTATTTTTAAGTCAAATGATTGAAGCCAACTCATTGCCAAGGAAGACACAGAGATGGGAAATGTAGAAGACACTGCCCAGGGTGGACACTACCCCTCCCCAGTCCTGTGTGACCTCCTTGTCCCCGCCCGCTTCCCAGGATGCTATGTGGAGAGACACTCACTATGTGAGGATAAGATTTCTGATGATTAGATTCAGATGAAGGTGGGTCCTCAGGAGAAGTTGAAGCCTCTCTTTCTCCCTCTCTCCTCTCTGGCAGCTACACACACACATACACCCTCATGAAGACACAGAAATGATATCATTTCTAGACCAGGAGAAGGATTCTTACCAGTCACCAGATCTGCCAGTTCCTCCATCTTATAGGTCCCAGTGGCCATCACTGTTTAACAGACCCTCAGTTATTTAAACTACCTGGTCTGTGGTGTTTTGTTACAGTATCTGGAGTTGACTAAAACATATTCTCAAAACTGTCAGTCATTAGAGGAATAACATTTAAAATCACATAGTGAGATTGTTAGTATTCAGGCATCTATAGTGGACGGCCCTTGGGGTTCTGAGAGGATACGCCCTCAGCTGCAACCACTAAGAGCACCTCCTGTGCACATTCATTATGTTCCCTTCTAAAAGGACCCTGTCCACCTCTCATCTTCCTCTCTGTCTCTGTCTGTCTCTCTGCCTCTCTCCACTGCTCCTGTCCCCAGAGGCTGGTCTCCTCTCTCCCCTTTCCCCTTTTTATGATCCCTTTACCCTAATAAAAAAAAAAAACAACCTCTACCCAAGCTCTATCGATTAGAGTCTTTCTCTCATGCTGCTTTTTAAATTACAACAGGGATACCTCCACACACCCTTTAGAATGGATAGCATTGAAAAGATAGATAATACCAAGTGCTGGCAAGATGCAGAGTCACCTGAGCTCTTGGGCATTGCAGGTGGCAATGAAAACTGTATATTTACTTCCCCAAACTCTTTCACAGTGTCTTACAGAATAAAATATACTATTGTGCATGAATCAGTCCTGTCAGTCGTGGGTATTTACCCAGGCAAAAGGAAAGGAAGTGTCCAGACAAAGACGTGAGCATGCACAGCAATCTGAAAAACACAAATAGCAACCCCCGTGGACTACATAAAAAAACTAAACAGTAAGGAGAACCCTCAGGCTTTGTGGGCAGCAAATGTGTGACTGAATGATTGGCACCCACTGGGGGCCCTGTAGCCAGCAAGCAGAGGGATGGGCTGTGGGGTCACTGTGGAGACGGCGGAATGGTACCAGGGCAAAGAAACCCCACATGGAAGACTGCTTCCTCTCTGATGCAGTTTCTAAAAGATGTGGAAAAGACAAAATGACAGTAACAGAAAGTGGATCGGCCACTTCTAAGGCCAGGACTTGGAAGGCTGGGACATCAGGCGACAGGTTGTTTCAGGGCTTGACCCTTCTGGTGGAGGCACGGGACTGCATATGCTTGTCAAATGTCATTAAGTTGTACATTTAAACTGGGGCATGCTAGTTATTCCTCAATCAAATTACAGACATTATTATCATTATGACTTAAGTTTGCTATCAGACAGGAGGTGGGGATGTGGAAGTGAGGACGTGGAGGGGCCAGATGGACCAGGAGGCCAAGAGCTCAGGAGGTGAGCATGGGTGCTGGCCACCATGGAGGTGAGCATGGGTGCTGGCTACCATGGAGGCGAGCATAGGTGCTGGCCACCATGGCTCAGGAAGCTCCAGAGAGAACAAATGGGGCCTAGAGGAAGGCCTTCATGGAGGAGTTACCTAAGGCAGATGCAATTAGGCCCCAGCTACTGTGATGATGCCCCAGCGTGGGAGAGGGACATGTCCCAGGGGCAACAGGACAAAGGAGATACCTGATTGGACCCCCACTGTAAGATTTATGAGTAGGCAAGGGGACAGGTGGACTGGAGCTGGGTGGAGGGAAGAGCCCCTAGACCCCTCACATCCGACAACGGTGACCCAGGTCACTCCTAGCTCCACCCACTTGGGAGGAGTGGCCTGTCCTGTCCAGACTAGGCTGCAAAGTCCCCCAAAGCAAAGCTGTTCCACTATGCGGCCCAAGGCCATCCCTGAACCCATGAATCCATAGGCCCCTGTATGTCTGCACCTCTGCACCCCATGCCCAGCATCTCCTGCCGCAGCTTCTCCTCCAGCCTGGACGGGCCTAGCTCAGTTATTCAGCTGTCTCTCTCTCTCTTTGCAGAAGACACGAAGTTTCACATGGCAGAATGCTCACGGCTCCCGAAGATGACCAGAGATAGCCTGAACCTAGGAAGCAACCACAGGCTTCTTCCCTGGGGCTTGGGGTGGAGCTCAGGATAGCCTGGCCAGGGTCCTCTGATAAGAAGCTGAATTCACTTCTCCCTCACCAGGCTCCAGTCTTTGGGTGATGACCCTGGGCCGAATGGAAAGTAGACAGCTGGGAGCAGTGAGGCCATCAGCCTTGATGCTAAAGAGCCTCTGGCTGGGGGAAGTCAGCTTTGTGAGGGCTGTGCAGCCACTAACTGTCCAGGTATAGGCTCAGTAAACAGACAGGCTGCTGAGGACTGGTCTAGCCTGGGAACCAAAGTCTTTTCACCACGGTTAAAGGCTCATCCAGGGCTCCACAGGCACCCAGAGCACCCTCCCCACCCACCAGAAATGCAATTCATACAGCTGTCAAAATACACTGAGCAAAGCAGAGGTGGGCTCAGAACGGGTCCCCACCTGGAGGGGTCAAAGGTATCAGTCCATGAGTGCGAGTGCATGTGAGCAGGATAGGTGTGGACCAGAGGAATGCCACCAACCCACAGTAATAAGGCGGTGGAGGATCTGGGACGGCTGCTCCTTCGGGGGTGGCAGGTCCCGAGAAATGGCTTGGGGAGGCAGAGGTGACTAGTTTGGGGTACCACGGGATGCCCGGGTGCCCTCTGCCCTCAGTGAATGCTTCTGGAACAGACTGTAGAGTATTCTCAGTGTGCTCTTGACATCCTTGTTCACAATATCTGTGGGCGTAGGGAGCAAGGCAGCCTGTCAGGCTAGGCAGGACCATTTGTCCCCAGGGATGGAGGAGGGTCCCTTCTCTCATCTGGGCTTCGCCCGCATCCATGTTCCCTCCCCCAACAGTGATGTCTGGCTGCTCTGAACACTCATTCCCAGGGACTTCAGTCTTGCACCCCTCCTAGGGAACCTCACGGTCAGTGTCTCTTTATGGACCGGCAAGCAGGGGGACCCCACTAGCAATGCTTGTCCCTCCACTCCCCACAACTGCTCTCAGTCACATCCCAGACAGGTCATCCAGGCAATGGGCAGCCATGCACTCACCTTCAGGGTTGACAGGGTGGCTGAGCAGGCCTTCATCCTTCAGCAGCTCCAGGGCTAGGGTGACATTGTGCAGCTATGATGAGAGAGCCAATGTCAGTCAATGAGGCCCTGGATCCATGAACCAGGCCAGGCTGTCACCAATGCCATCTGTCCTTGCCCACAGGAGGTTTGAATCCCTGAACCACAACAGCAATCAGGGCTCAACTAGCATCTCCTGTGAGTGGAGACCTCACTTCCTCACACAGAGATCCTCATCGGCACACAGCCCTCAGCAGAGGCCACATGCTGGACAAGTAGACATCACGTAGGCACTGTTGGTGGGAAAGACCCTCACCGAGGAGACTCTGTGGGAGTGTGTGTGTCAGGGTGTGTTCTGGTGGAGGTTAACACTCTGCATGTGAGTCTGCCAGGTGAGGGGACTTTGTCTCAGATGGGAGCCAGGGCTAGTAGGTGGTAGAGACCCCAGAAGGTGGTAGCAGTCTTTCTCTGCTTGGAGGGCCATCAGAGGAGTAGGGCCATGATGCGAAACAGGAACACTGGAGGCGAGTCACTGGCCCACAGCTCTACAGGGCTAGCCACCTCAGGAAGGTCCAGGCCCAGAGGAAGTAGGCTGAGTAAATGCAGACCAGAGCACATGGCTCAGGTCTGCTTCTGTGTTCCCAAGTGCCTCCCCACAGGACATCCTGGGAGAGGGGACTCCCCACTGTCGACACATTCTCATTAGGTGTGCTGCTCACTGTGACCCAGGAAGCACAAATCAGGAAGAGGGAACTCCGGCTCCCTGCTTTGCACCTAAGAGTCCCGCCCTGAATGCTCTTGACAAGATGGCATTTCCCAGAGAGTGATCCTGGATGTCAAGGAAAAGGTCTGTGACCAGACTTTTTTTTTTTTGCCTCAGCCAGATTTTTTTTTTTTTTTGCCTCAGCCTCTCAAATAGCTGGAGTTACAAGCATGCACCAGCCACTGGGTCTCCTACACTGCGGTTTCTTCCACTGGCCCCCTCCACTCTTGGGTTCTGAGCTAAACAGCTACCATGTTCCCCTCACTTATTTCAACTCAAGGTCTGAAACAGGTTGTGACATTGTGGGGTTAAAAGTGGTCTGTGCCAGGGATGTTGGATGCCTGTGTGACTGCTCTGGCTTGACACTGCACTTATTTTATTATTAAATTTATTTATTTATGGGGGAGGGGCATGTATGCGGAGGTCAGAGGACAACTTGCAGGAATCAGTTCTCTCTTTCCACCATGTGGGCTCAGGAGATCAAACTCAGGTCATCGGGCTCCTCACGCAGCAAGCTTCCTTAGGCGCTGAGCCACGTGGCCCGGCCGTCACTCTCATATTTTAAAAATACTTGTTGATCATCAACTGTGGGCCCACCATACACACAGCCCAGAATCGGAACAGCGCCTGCTCTCAGGGAGTCCATGTTGGAAGGTGTGTATGAAAGAATCGGAGAACACCAGGTTTCCCTTAGCACACTTCCTCTGCCATGCTCATGAGCCAGAGATCTGGTCAGGCTCCTGAGAGGCCCGCTTCACCCTCCCCAGCCTGTCCTTTGCTTCTGAGCAGTTTGAGATGATGAAGAGAAAGCTCGGTGCTCTGCAGAGCCAAGAAAGGCCAGGACCCAGGAGAGGTGTTCCCATCTTCCTGTGAGAGATAATTGAACGTGGGAGGAAGCTAGAGTTTCCTTGTTCTGGCTCTTTGATTTCTGCAAAGCAAATGGCCACTTCTCTCTGTGCCCCTAACTTTGCTCCAGAAATGAACACTGACATCCTCACATCTACACATAGCACATAGCAGTCAAGGCCACACATAGCACAGCTTCCTGGGGTTTCTTCCGGCTTCCAGTTAAGGACCTGTGAGTGCTGTCAGCCGTGTTCCTGCCTCAAGTCTCCTCCACAAGCCCCAAACTCCCTTCTTGGGCTCTGAACTAATACCAAGCTTCTGTATCTACTCCCTTGAAGGGTTGGGAGAGAATCTAATGGGTTCGCAAGCTAGCTGAGCCACGAATCCTGAACCTTTGTGCACTAGCCTGATCTGTATCTGGGGTTTGGAGCCTGTGAAGTAGAAGTGTGGCTGCTGAATGACATAGACATGGGTCCACATTGCTGAGCCTGGGTCCCTACGGTGCCTGCCTCCCCCAAAAGACTCTTCACATGGTTCACCCCTGATGCCTCACTTGACAGATGCAGGTCTGTCCCACACTGTGAGCCTCCCATAGGCTCACCATGCTCCTAAGAAGGGCTCAGGGATGGATTGTTCCTCAGGGCCACATTTGCATCAGGGATCTGTGTGGTCCCAGGGGAGCCTGCCAGGCTCCAAGATCTCAGTCTTGCTCTGTAATTCAGGAACACAATTCATTCCCCCTCTTCCTGGGGTATGGAAGGGCAGGCTAGGGAGGTCAGTGCCAAGGAACCTGGGAGAAGCATCATCCAGGAGCCTGGAGAAGGGGGCAGAGCTGGCAGTAAGGGGAAGCATCTAGCAATGTCAGAGCAGTAAGGCCAAGATGCCTGATGCTAAGCTCTGAGAACCAGAAGGGGCCTTGCAATGTAGCAAGACAGGCAGGGAGCATAGTAGGTGGAAAGCAAAGGAGTCTGGGAAGAAGGTTCATATGGGGGGGTAGGCCCCTGGGAGGACCCAGCCAGCAAATGACACACTCAGGGACACACTGGGCCCAAGAGGGGAGGGGCAGACATCATGACTGGGATTTTACTTCAGGAGGAAAGGTCATTACCTAGAGGAGTTCTAGGACTGGTGGGGGGCACATGGACACAGGCTGGCCACCAACTGTCTCCACTCCAGCTCGTCTTTTGACTGCACTTCTATATCCCTCTCAAGGAGCACCTGACGCTTGGAAGAATACAGAAGCCACAGAAAGTGCAGGGCAGGGGACCAGAGATGTGCGCCTCTCCAATCTTCCTCCCCGATGGCTCTCTACACTACTGCTTAATGCTTAGACCCCACACAACCTGACAGTGGGCAGGGCAGTGCTGGAAACCCATTTCAGAGAAGAGAAGCCTGAGACCAGCAGGAGAGAACCTGGACTTGGACCCAGCAGGAAGTACTTCTTGCCTTGCTGGGGTCCTTCTTTGGAAGGTGGTGGGAGTCTTCTACCTAGGCAGGAAGCCTCTGGAAAGGACTTCTTCAGAGAAGGGCCTGGGCCTGGGCCTGAACCAGAGACCAGCGGAGACAAGAAAAAGTTTGGATGCAGAGCCTGGTGGGCAGAGAGAGAGCTGAGGGAAGGTGCCAGGGTCCCGGTGGGGAAGGCAGGGAGACACAGCCGCATGGTGCACATTTGGAGGGAGCACACCCTGTCACTTAGCCTCTTATCTTTCTGGCTTGTCACTCCCCATCACTCCTCCTGGGGTCAAACTTAACTTTCTGCCTGGATTAAAACTGTGTCTTTTGGCAGGTCCAGGCTCTGGGTTCATTTGAAATGACTTGCCTACCAGACCTTCCCTGCCAATCCCTGTGGCCATCATGAGCTGCAGACCATTCCCCAAAAGTGTTCCCGAGCCTCTCCTGGGTCTGGTTCCTCATTTCAAGGTACTCTTCTTCCTCTAGTCTGTAAAGCAAACCCCTACCAGCACCACTCTCTGTCAGTCTCTGCTGGGCACACCAGAAGCCAGTGCCCTGCCATGATGTCCTGGAAGGTCACAATCCTGGGAGCACAGCTGGCAGAGTTGGAGGAGCTTGAAAGCCAGAGTTGTGAGGGACTGTACTGTGTCCTGGGCAGTGTGGCTTGTCATAAAGCAGACCCTTGGAGAGTGGGGAGTCCAGAGCACTAGTGGATGAGTGGGTGGGTGAGTGGGTGGTTAGGTCATTGAGGGAGGCAGATTGGTAGATATGTGAACAGACAAGTAGGTGAATGAGTAAATGGAGAGATGTGTAGAAAAATAGATGGGTGGGTAGGTGCATGAATGGATGGATGGATGGATGGATGGATGGATGGATAGATGGATGGGCGGGTGGGTGGGTCCATGGATAAGTAGGCAGATGAGTAGATAGATGGGTGTGTGGATGGATGGATAAATAGGTACGTAGGCATTGGATAAGTGGATGGATAAATAGATGGATGGTGTCAGTTGATGAGTGAATGGATGAATAGATGGATGGATGGATGGATGGATGGATGGATGGATGGATAGGTACACAGGTGTTGGATGAATGGGTGGGTTACTGAATGGGTGAATGGGTGGATGATGGGTGAATGAGTGAGAGATGAATAAATGGGTAAATAGGCATATAAACAAACGTTTCTTCCACCTTCCTTACAGCTTGAAACTGAATAAAGACTGTCAGGCCAATGTCATAAATCTGTCCACCCCCTCCCCATGGAGGGAGACCTTGGAAGCTTACCATTTCTGCGGGAGAGCTGGGAGTGAGATAGAATTCCTTCAGATGCAAAAAGAAGCCTTCCAGCTGTCCGATCAGCAGGAGTAGGATGACCCCATCTGCAAACTACAGGTGTTGTGTTTCAGTCCTAACCATCCCCACAGCACGCTGTGAACGCTTGGTCCCCAGGTAGACACTTTACCAGGTGGGGCATGGCCCTGGGAAGTAGATTACTGGGAGTGGGCCCTCAGAGGGTACAGTCTCCCTGGTCCTTTTCCTATTGGGCCCTCGGGTTCCTGTCCACCAGGATGTATACAGCTGTCCTCTACCAGACACTCCTGGCATTTGCCACAGTGACATAAAGGAACTAACACACTAAAGAAAGGAGGCAGGGCTCCCATGTGGGAGAGACCGACATTGATGGGTGTCTATTCTACCTTTTACATGCTATGTGAATTGAAGGAATTCAATTGCAGTACCTCTCTGAGACTTGCGTTCCTTTCAAGAAGCGGGGATGGCATTCCCAGGGACATGGGGTTGTCAATAGCAGCATGAAGCAGGTTGGGGCGTCTGGCTCTTAGAGTACATTCAATTAGAAGAGCTGTTTCTAAACTTTCTATGGAATAGTCTCCTCTCTCTGTCTGTCTGTCTTTCTCTCTCTTTCCCTCCTTCCCTCTTATTCTTCCTCCCCCTCTCTCTGTGTGATCATGTTTGTGCAGGGATATGTATATGTATAAACACCCATGCACATATATGCATATGTGTGTAGAGGCCAAAGAACAAGCTAGAGCTTTTATTATTCCTTAGGAACAGTCTACCTACTTGGGGGTGGGAAGGGGCAATCTCTCACTGGCCTGGAACTTGCCAAGTGGACTAAACTGTCTGGCCAACATATCCAGGGATCCACATGTCTCTGCCTACCCAGTACTGGGTTTAACTATGTGTGCCAGGACCTGGAGACATGGCTCAGCAGTTAAGACCACCCAGCACCCACAGAGCAGCTCACAAGCATCTGTAACTCCAGTTCCAGGGAGTCCGACACCTTCTCCTGGCCCCTGTGGTAATCACGCACACATGCGCTGCACGTACACACCTGCAGGCAAGCACTCATACCTATAAAAAAGAAATGTGTGCCACCACACCCCAGGGTTCTGACTTGCCAGGCAAGCACTTTCCCAGCTGAGCCATCCCTGTCGTGTCCGTTTTAAATGACAAGTTATTCCATGAGCTACAGACACATGTGTGAAAACAGAGTTAGTATAAAATTCTCCCATCAGGACAGGCAGAGAGGAGCACACAGGCCCATTAATATTTCTGTCTGTTCTGTCCGCATGCTCTGAGATAACGCTGCTGGGAGCATGCCATATGCTAATGTAATCCTACTGAATCTCTTCACACAAAGCTAGAGATTGGATGCTGCAGAGAGACGCTGCTCTGCCTTTAATGGAATTTCCCCCCATTAAGTCTGTTCGGATGTTATTAGTTTGGGTGTGGAAGCTTCTCTACGGCTGTCCTCAAAACATAGCTGGGAAAACCGAACTCTGAGTCTGCCTCTACCATCCCAACTTGTCTAAATGACACCCTTGCTCACTCATTTTTGTTTTACCAAAGGAGGAGGGATGAGGGAGGTCAAGTAAACCTGAGATGTCCTCCTGTGTCTCCTCACAGAAAATACAGTCAGAGGTGGGCGTGTTGCTTGGGGGAAGCAACAGTGAGTCAAATGACCAATACTAAAGGACACTAAATAGCAATGCTCCCCGGATTCGCAATTCCAAGAGGCGGGATTGCTCCCATTTTATAAAGTGAGGTGCCTAAGGTTCAGAGAAGTCCAGCAATTCACCCAAGGTCACACAGACATATGGGAGTGTCCTCAGAGCCCAGGGCACAAAGTGGCAGGCACTGGATGGAAACACGCACACATATGGCCCTCAAGTCTGTGTTTTCACCTCACTATGCTGCCACAGAGCTTACAAAGCTCATGCGACCGCCCACCACACGCAGTGGCTATGAGCGTATACCTGAAGCCCAACTGCCTCGGTCCAAAACTTAGGACCACCCCTTAATTACTGTGCAACCTTAGGTAAGTTGCTTAGTCTCTCTGTGTCTTAAAAATCTCATCTATTGAATGGGGTTTTATCAGTTCTCACATGAGGTGTCGGGGGGGGAGGATTGCAGAGCCGATGGCAGGGAAATCTTGGCTCCAGGCAGAACAGGTAACAAGAGCTCTCCTGTTTGGCCCCAAACTTGGGAATATGTGGCCTGACCCTCCCTAGCTAACAGCTAGCCAGCCACTTGTTCCTGAGAAGACAGCTATGACCCGTTCTGCATAGGCCTTGAGACAAGGCCAATACCCATAGTCTATGGAGGTCTGCCCAGTGCAGACCAGACCCCATTATCACCCCACAGGGCCCAGGCAGTGTCAGATCTCTGCATTTCCACCCCCTTGGGTTGTGGGGACACTGCAGACACAGTGGAATCCCTGTGGAAGGCATGGCTAGGTGAGGCATTTTGGATCTGCAGGGTTCTGCTCCCACCTTAGGACAGTTAAGTTTGTGTTCTCACAGTGGGCTAGGCCCCTGGGGCTCAGGATGGAGCCCACTGAGGGTGGTGCTGCATCAGCATCTCCAACCACTCCCGGCACCAACCTCAGACATGGACCCCTCATGAATCTCAGTGCTACGTCTGAATAAACGTGATCACAGGGGAAGACCCTTGCTCTGACTTCAGTATGCCCTCGAGTATCCCATGCCCTAGGAGTCATTCTGATAAATGAGTAACAATGAAGCCAGCAAGAGATGGCTCAACCTTCATAGCTTCCCACAGGCCCCCAACCCAGTGGTCCCAGGGGCTCCCTGTGGCAATACTGCCTGCCAGCAGCACACCCCACTAGAGAGGGACCTGAGATCTCTGAAACTGTTGCCTCACTTCCAGTCACACAGCAAGTTTCAGGGGCCCAGGAGCCCTCGTCCCTGCAGTGTCCATACCTGTGTGTCCAGACTCTGCACAGACAGGCCCAGGCTCTCCATCTTCTGGTTGACAAAGCTCACAATGGCCTAAGACAAAAGAGGAAGGACCTCAAGACCACTCAGGGACCCTGAGGTGACAGAAATCCTTCCCTTCCATCAGACAGCACCCATGTCCTCTCCCATCACCCTGAGACACAAGCAGGTAGGTGGTGGGCGTGGGAAGCTTTGATCTCCCCTACCTCTTTGACGGCGTGCACTTTCTCCGGAGCAAGCTTAAATAATTCATCAAAGGCATCTTCTGCAGACCAGAGCAATAAATAGCTCATTACGATGCTGCCATCTTTGCACCAAACAATGTTTTCACACAAAAGTTTCTCATAAAAAAAAAAAAACAGTCCCATGGGAGTCACAGCTTGATCTTCTGGTTCCTGAATGAAACAGGCCTGGGTCTGGGACACATGGCTCCCTGGCTGGGGATAGCAGGGGGCTTCCCTCTCTGTACCTTGATTTCCTCATCTCTGGTGAATGATGCCTGCTAGGCTGGGTCATTTTAGAGATCAAAATGGGTAAGGAGCATGCATCTCAGTAACTGCAGTGGGATAAGTGGCCTGGTAGGTGGAGGATGGTTGGGTAGATATATATCTGGCTGACTTGTGTATAGATGGATGAACGGATACGTGGATGTATGTGTGTATGACAGATGGATATATATATATATGTGAATAACAGGTATATGCATACATATGTATATATATGAATGACAGATGATATATATATATGAATAAGGGATGTGTGTGTGAGATAGATAGATATATATTTATGAATGAATGTATGGATATATAGATGAATGGATGGATGACTGTATAAGTACACGGATAGATGGATGAATCATTGTATAGGTATATAGATGATGGATGGGTAGATGGATGGATGGATGATTGAAAAATGATGGATGGGTAAATAGATGGATGACTGAAAGAAGTGACAGATGAATGAATAGTTTGCGAGTCCAACTGAGGAATGGATAAGTGAAAGAATTAACAGCTGGACCTGACTGGTGAACCGCTTGTCATATTAGCAGCAGTCATGTTATTGTACACATACCGTTGAGAGTGCTCCATGTGCTAAGCACACCCACAGATTACCTCCTGTGGTCCTCACACCAGCTTAAGAGGTGGGTTCCAGATGAGGGAACTGAAGTACAGATGGGTTAGGGTACCTACCCACGCCCACATGGCTAATGAGTGAGGGAGTCAGCAGCATTTGGCAGCTCTGCCCTCGTGGTGTGGACAGTGGATCTCTTCCCATAAGAACAGTACTAAGAAGCCAGATAAAGGCCAGGCAGACAAAGGAAGGACAAATTCATGAATAAATCCTGCCACAGAAGAGTAGCAGATCACAGTGGAAACGGTTAACTGCTCCATCACAATTTTTCTGACCCCTTCAGAAGGGAAAAATTTTCCTTCAGTTACTAAGTTACTTACGTGAAGGCTGGTCCTTCTGTGAGCTACAGGAGAAATTGCAGGAGACAGCAAAGCAATCAAAGAGTTAGTAAAAGGTCTGCAGTTTTCTCATCACCTAATGTAACAAGCTTGGTCCCAGCAGGTGGCGAGGAGATGGGCTCGTTTTCTTGGGCAATCAAGGCAGAGGAGGTGCAGAGACTCTGCGTGTGGAAAGCAAGGCTAAGAGGCTGGCAGCCTTGCCCTGCACGCACACACCTCAGAACGCTTGGATTCTGTGGGGCTGAGGATATCAGGCCTGGGGTGGTTCCCTGCACAGGGCTAGGGGTCCCTGCAGCCTTCCGGGCATTGAGAAGCAGCAAGCACAATGAGGGCTTCCTTGGCCCAGGACCCCCTGCACCTCCCACGCGGCCAAGGCCAACCTCACCTGCATTTATCTGTGAGCTGCTCCACCAGCTTGTCCGACTTCAGGCCGGTCTTAGTGCTCTAGAGCAGGGGAAGGGAATGGTGTAACTCCAGAGAACCCCAGAACCAAGCCCACAGACCCAAAGTAGGGTAAGAGAACCTAGTATACTCGGCTTTTCTCCCATCTCAGGATGCTGCTGTGGGCCAGCTTCACTGTCCATTTTTGCGGTGCCCGCGCCACAAGCAACTCCGAGATATCAGGAAAAGAAAGACCACATGTCCAGCTGTTTGTACTAACAAGTGTCTTTATTTTGTAAGTGTTAAGAGGTCTCTCGTAGGAGGGAACAGTCTTATATATAGTCTTACAACACAGTAAAAAAACACCAGGTGGAAGAGAGCGTGTTTTCCTTCTGCTAGACGTTGATGTCAGTGGGGCAATGCAGGGGCAGTAAGCCAGGACTAGAAAACAGGATGCACCTGTGGCTATCAGTTGACAAACAACTCAGAGACCCTGTGGGGGCTAGGTCCCAACACATTTTCCCTGTGATTGTTGAACCCATGAGGACAGCACTATGGATGCCTCATTCCTAAGACACCCAAGAGGGATGTGTGTGTGTTTGTGTATGTAAATGAATGTGTTGTGTGAATGAACACACAATGGTCACCTCTGATTTATCTTTTTAGTGGGCATGTATGTACATGCATGTGCACATGTGTGTGGAGCAGTGCACATATGCCATATGGGACATATGACGGTCACAGACAAGTTTCAGGAGTCAGCTCTCCCTTTCTACCATGTGGGTCTCAGGAATTGGACTCAGGTTGTCAGGCTTGGCAGCAAACACCTTTACCTGCTAAGTTATCTTGTTAGCCTTACCTGATTTACATAAATTTGAGAAAGCCATGAAACTGCTCAGTAGTGAACTTTAGACTTGGGAAAGGTGGTAATGGGTTTGACAAGGCCCAGTTGGATACAGCTGGTTTTGTAAGGCAAGTAGAAGGAACACACACAGACACACAGGCACAGACAGACAGACAGACACACACACACACACACACACACACACACACACACGACACACACACACACCCCATAGAACATTAACTAGTACTGCCAGAGAGAAATGGTTTCTCAGAAGAGGAGACAGTGTGTGGTGATGGGTGACAGATGAAAGACATGGAGGGATGGCCACCTGTGACCCAGGGAATATGATGGCACCAGCTGACCTCCCTGTCGCCATGCTTGTCCCTGCCTCTGCTAGGCAGAGCTGGCTGCTGAGAGCAGTACTGGCTGACCAGGGCCCTCCTCCTACCCTCCTTGTCTCTGCCAGCCCAGCCCTCAGTTGTCCTGATATGATGTGATGATCCTCATAGATGGCTGGAGCCACTCCCCATGCAATGACCCCCAGAGATGCAGTGGCATGGAGCAATATGCCCAGATGACCCGCCCGTCCCACCACCTCACAAGTACCTCAATGTGGATGACTTCCACCTGGACATTGTCTGGAAGGGGCAGGTCTGGCTGGAAGCGTTTGGCCAGGGCCACCAGGAGATGCAAGGTAGCCAGCAGGTCCTTGTTGAAGATGGCTAAAGAGGAAAAGACAGGAAGCCAGAGATCTGAGGGGCCACCAAAACCTGCAAACACCCTCAGAACTGTCCTGTGCAGACCACTGAGGTCAGAATGTGTGTGTGTGTGTGTGTGTGTGTGTGTGTGTCTGTCTGTCTGTCTGTCTGTCTGTCTCTCTCTCTCTCTGTGTTTGTGTGTGTGTGTGTGTGTGTGTGTGTGTGTGTGTGTAACCAAACTTTCTGAAGGGTGTATGGGAAGCATGTGTACACAGCACATTCATTTGTTGACAGACAGAAAATTAATGAAGGAAGCCTATGAGTGCCATTTGACCAGCTGAGACGTGCGGTATGTTCTTAGACTCAGCAGTGACTGTGTCGCTGGGAAGCCATTATCCTTAGCTGCTCTGACTGCAATGATAACCCCAGGGCCATGTGTGTAAGTCTGTTTCTTTCCCAGCAGACACCTGACTTTGTGTCCAGCTTGTGCTCACGCTACGGGCTGACTGAGACCTCTCTCCTTCCCAGCCCCCGATGGTTCTTGGGTAGATGAGTGTGTTGATTATCAAATGAGAATCCAGTGCAGATGGTCACTGCCCCTCCCAGGCACCAGCCTAGCTCAGCCCCACGTACTCTCCACACTCCACTTGGCCTGTTGCTCTTCAACCTGCAGACTCTGGTTGACCGCCTCCAAGATGACTCCTAGCTTGCGCCTCTGACTAACTGAGGTCAGAGAGATTTCCTCCACTTCCAGCTTAAGGGCTGCCAGCTTCTCTGAAAGCAAAAGAGCAGTAAGGGCCAGGAAGTGCCCAGCAGCTGTCACAGGGACCCTCTGCCATGAGGATATTGCCACCCTGTTAGAGTGGGATACATACTGTTGATAGTTAGCCCTGGCAACCCCAGAACCCTCAACCAAACATACTCATTATCCAAGAAGCACCCATCTGTTGTAGAATATTATTTTAAGATGTGTTACATTTGTTTATGCTGGGGAACACTTGTTTAATGATGCAAAGATACATTGCATTCCTTTAAGTTGCATTTGTCTAACTCTGTGAAGCTATGTTACTTTGCCTGTCTAAAACACCTGATTGGTCTAATAAAGAGCTAAACAGCCAATAGTTTATCTGGAAAGGATAGATGAGGCTGGCAGGCAGACTAAATAGAAGGAGAACAAGAAAGAAGGAAGAGCAAGAAAGAGGGGAGGACACCAGGGTCCAGCCACCCAGTCACACAGTGAACCATGGAGTAAGAGTGAAAGTAATATTACAGAATTAAGAAAAGGAGAAAGCCCAGAAGCAAAAGGTAGATGGGATAATTTAAATTAAGAAAAGTTGGCTAGAAACAACCCAAGTTAAGGCCGGGGATTTATATTTATTTGGGAGCTAGGTGGCAGACCCCTCAAAAGAGTCAAAAGAGAAAAAAACCCAAACAGCTACACCCATCCACATGGAAAATGGGCCAACAGGGTACATGGACCATGTATTTGAGCAGGTTGCAACCTTTGGGCCATCCCCTCTGGCCCACCTCACCTTGGTCATTCTACCCACACCTTGGTCTCTGCACTGCTGGGCCATGTCATTCCCACAGGGCAGCACCCCTGCTTTCTCCACTGAGACCTGGGCATATCGTTCTGGGTCTGGGAGCCTTGGTCTCACCCACAGCCAGGGAGAGGAACAGTCGTGATCTGTGCAGAAAGCTGATGGTGCCTGCTCTCTGAGAAATACCCAGAAGCCTCAGCAGAGGCTGGAGGATGACTCTGGAGCCCATATGCCAAGTTCTGCAGAGTGGTGGCTTGAGGAGGTTCTGAGAATGTGGATCTGGGCCCTACTGGTTCCAGGACCCTCTTCCTTGCACAAGACATCTGCAGACCAGACATGGGTAGGAAAACCAGCCAGACGCAGAAACTTGGCCTGACTTTGCACACATCTCTTCCAGGCACACTGGGACCCACCAGATAAAACCAACCCTGCCTCTGTCTCTGAAACATCCCACTTGAGATAGCCTGGGGTCTTCCAGTAGCATAGGACACTCTGAAGTCAGGGACAGTTGAGGTCCCAGCTCCTAAAGTCATCAAACACTTCATAAATGCTGGATAGGCCACAGTGTGGCAGAAGGAGCAGCAGCCCAGACATTAGACACTGGCTGGAACCATAACTCCGTCCTGCCATGCTGGAGAGTGGGCAGGGTCTCCACTTTCGCATAGTACAATCTGGAAAGTCATAAATGGGTCCCTTCCCCTGGGGCTGTAGTGGGGGCTGAGGCAGGAAGCCACTTGAAGGGTCAAGGGGGAATACTTGGCCGCAAACCCCCAGGAACAATTGTTTAGGAAACACAGATGGGGTGAGATGGGGCCTGGGCCTCTGCTTACGGAACAGGTGGTGCAAAATGAGTCCATCGAACATGTCCTCCTCCAGGCTGCGGACCACGATGTGCTCTGGGAGGAGTGTGGTGTTGATCCACTCCATCAGCACCTGCCAGTCATAAGGGGACAGGCGACAGGGATAGAAGTTACCTGGCCAGGCTCTCATCTCAAGCTAGAGTGACCTCTTCTACCTACCAACTGCTACCCACTCTTCAAGGCCTGGTCAAATGGTACCTCTTCCAGAAAGTTCTCCCTGACCTCCTAGGTCATGTGGTGTTTTGGTACCTGGGAGTTGTCATCATTGTAGCAAATGCCTGAAACCAGGGGCATGGCCGTGGAATTGGAGCCTAGACTGCCCCCAAGAGCGGGTTGTAGAAACATGCAGGCCACAGGTGATTTGGGTGATGTCTCAGAAGAAAGTAGAGGTGTGATGTTGGAATTGAGGAAGGTGGTGCTGGGGTGGGTTATGGACAGGGGTGTGGTGTCTGTAAGTCGGGGGCACCAAGCCTGGCTCCAGAGACTTCAGGGCTGGGCGTAATAGTGTACCTTCTGCAGTTCTTCAAACTTGGGATCCTTCCGAGAATTGGGGGGCAGGTATTTCTTCTTTCCTCCTGGAAGCAGAGGTGTGTACGATGTGGGTGAGTACCCTGAGGGTCCCTGGAAGATATCTCACTGCAGGTCACCCACTGAACCTAGACCCTGGGGGAACCCTAACCCAACCTCTCACTCACACTTCCTCACGAGCACTGGGAGGGTGCACTTAAGCTCAGAGCTCACCCCTTGCCCGGAGGGTCATGAAGCAGATGGGTAGCATCTTCTAGAATGCCTACCTACATCTGCTTAGAGTGGAGGCTCAGCCCAAAGGAGCAAAGGACAAGCCAGGCTGAGGTGGGTATCACCTTTGCTGCCAAGCAGCTCTAGCCAGGGTGTAGCACCAAAGTCCCCTGTGCCCTCTTCGGCTTTGCCACTCCCTTCCCTGAGGCCTTGGTCAGCAGGGTCCCCATGTTTAAAATTCATAGAACCCACAAAGCATCAGGCCCAGAGGGACTTTGTCGGTCAGCTGACCTCAATGCACAGGAAGAAACTGAGTCAGCTCATGGGGCCGACTTGCCCAAGCTCATAAAATATAACCTGCCATGCGACTCAGCTAGATCCTCCAAAACCTTGGAGTATACCCACCCATGATGGGAGAACAAATAGAACATTGCACTCATGGCTTGGGGCTGACTACTGATAACACGAGTGAGTTAGTGAGTGAATATGGAGGAAGAGAAGGAAGGAGACAGGGAGGGATGGAGAGAAGGAGGGAGGGAGAGGTAGAAGGAAGGAGAGAGGGGCAAATGTGTGGATGGCTGTATGGATGAAAGGATGGATGGATGGATGGTTCATGAGTGAGTGATGGAGAGGGTGGATGGCAGATGGATAGATGGATGGCTACAGGGGCAGTCCCCTGCTCATTCTAGTAAGACAGAGTCACACACTCTCTCCCTCCCCTCATTCAACAACCCTTGTCCCACCAGGACCAGCACCTCGTGGGAGCTCCTCCTCCGTGGGCTGATCCACCTCCTTTGGGAGCTGCAGCAGGTTGTAGAGGGGCTCCGACTCCATCTTCTCCCTCACCTTCCCTGGAGGAGACAGGAGGCAGAGTGCATCGCTGTACCCAAGGCTTACCACGCACTCATTCTTCCTTTTAGACTGGTAGTGATGGAGGGTGGGAGTGCGGCCCCCAATAGACAAAACTCATAGAGCCAAGCAAGGGCGAGGGGAGGGGCCTGCTGTGGAGACATCTGAAGCCAAGCCTTGCAGGGTTGGAGACGGTGCCAAGCTGTGATGATTAATCTTGATTGTCACAGTGGCAGAACCTAGACCCACCTGTTGGACAGGCAAGGCTCTGGGTATGCCTAGGTTCCCTCACTGTAAGAGGGACAGCACCATTCCAGGAGCTGGTCCTGGGCTGAATGAGAAATGAGAAAGTGAGCTGAACACCATATTTTGTCTCTCATCTTCTCAATACATTTTGACCGGCTGCCTCATGTCCCTGCTGCCATGACTTCCCCGTCGTGAGGGGCTGTACCCTCAAAGTATGAACTAAAGAAGCCCTCCCTTCCTTGTGTTCCTTTTATAAGGGTATTAACTTAAAAATACATAAGCTGAGGGCAAAGTCTGGGCAGAGGCTTGGTGAGGAAGTGGGTTCCTTGTCAGCCAGACACATAGAAGCCTGCCTACCTCTTCCGGCCAGGAGCCTCAGTCCTCTCTTACAGCCAGGACAGAAGAACCCCAGCTCCCACAGAACCTTAGACAGTGTGGGAAGGGAACTCTGGATCAATCTGTATCAAGATGAGCACCCACCAGTGGGGTGGAGTGGCCACCCATCCTTCAGGTCATTCCCCTGAATCTAAGACCAGACTCCCCCAGCTGTGGATGGGGCGGATCAGGCCTCAGGCCAAAGCTCCCCAGATCTGTTCCCCATCTGACTTCACTTGCAGAGGGAGACTGGCCCATCTGGCCTCTAATTCTGAATGAGGCTTTCTCAGATGGGGTTGGCATCCCCAGACTTGGGGTGTGGTCTCTTGGGGCTTTTGCTTGTGACATTCAGAGAACGCTCTTCTTGTGAAACACAAGCAGCACCCCCCACCCCACCCCTGACTCACAAACGGCAGTATCAGGCCTGAGACCAGCATTCCCCCTCAGACTCACGATGGGCAATGTCAGGCCCAAGACCAGCAATGACCACGCAGCCCACCCCCAGCCTCACGATGGGCAGTGTCAGGCCTGCCCCACACCCAGAGGGGATCAGACTCAGAAGCTAATGGCTTCCTTCTGGTTCCCTAACCTCCTTCTAGTTCTTCTGCCCACTTCCCCTCTGTAACTTTCCCTCGCTGCCTGGCCACCTTTGACTCTCCCTTCCAGTCTCTACAGCTGCCCCATATTCCCAGGATCACTCAGATATTTGAGGTCTGGGGTCAAACCACAAGAGTCCCAGAGCTGTGTGGAGGGAGAGGCACTGTTGGGGCCTGGGAGCCACCTTCCTCAAACTGGCTGCAGCCTGAGGACCTCGAGAAGCTGAGCCCTACCCTGGAGCCAGAAGCAAGAGGACCGAACCCCCTGGGAATGAGTCTCAAGCCCCATGAACTGAAGAGGTGAGTCGGGCTGGGTTGGGGAGCCTGGACCCCAGCCAGCTCCTCCTAGCTCACTCAGCCTGAGTGACCATGGGCCAGTCTGCTCCCTCTTGGGCCTGATGTATCTTTACAGGAAGAGGGTGGACCCTGTGTCTAGCCAAGTACACACAGACTGAAACTGCCTCTGGTGACCAGTTCCAGATGAGTCCCTTCCCTGCCCCATTCAACAGTTTCTTCATGGTCGGGGAGCTCGACTTTCTCCTCATGCAGTGACTCTCTGAGGGGCCCTGGTTCAAAAAAATCCTGCCGTAGGCGAGGTAGGCAGGGCTCTTCTGTATGGACAGGACTCACAGCTCCCCCATAATGTGAGGTGACAACCTCAGCAACATGACAAGACTTAAGGTTCCCCAGTGACAGACCCCCTTCCTGGGAGGCCCCAGCTGACATGTGGCTCTGGGTTCCTATTCACGGGGCGTCTCTGCCTTCCTCCATGAGCGCCAGTACCCACCGGGCATGGGAACAGATGGAAGGTTCTAGCAGCTCAGATTTTCCCACAGATGCACTCACCTGCCACTTCTTTTCACACCAGGAAATGAAGCCCACTAGTGCAGAGGGTGAACCTCTCTGAGAGAGAGGTTCCGGGTCCGGAGGTGGGAGGCAGGGCTTCTGCTCACTTCCTCTGCCACCCTGGTGGCTGCAGGCAGCTTCCTCCTCCAAACTGATGGTGAGTGAAGTGCCCTAACTCCTCTGAGAGACTGCCAGAGGCCCAGCCCCTGCCCTGTTCCCTAGTCTTCCAAGGCTCAAGGGCATCTTGGAGGGTCTCTCTTATTTCCTTCCCTGCCTCTGCCTCTCCATGTTCAAACAATGGCTGTCTGAGCATACAACTGAGGTTAGGGCCCCCAAAGCAAGCAAACTGAGCTCTCCACCACCTTTGTCTTCACAGTGCCCAGCCTTCACCTCTGGCTCCACCTATGCAACACACCAACCAAGCGGGCCCCAGGGCTGTCCACTAACTAACTCGCTTGCCTTCTTGATTTCGAGACTGTCTTTTGTAGTCAAGGCTGGCCTCAAACACATCAAGCTGAGGTTGACCTTGAACTCCTGATTCTCCTGCCCCATTCCATTTCTCACAAGCCTGGGTTACAGGCATGGGCCATGTCTCAGGGTTTCTGTGGCTGTAAGGAGACACCATGACCATGGCAACTCTTACAAAGGAAAACATTTAATTGTGGCTCGATTACAGTTCATAGATTTAGCCCATCATTGTCATGGTGGGAATCAAGGCAGCATGCAGGCAGACACGGTGCTGGGGAGGAGCTGAGAGTCCTTACATCTTGACTCACAGGCAACAGGAAGTGGTCTTTGAGACACTGGGTGTTGCTTGACCATATATGAACCTTCAAAGTCCACCTCCACAGTGATGCAGTTCCTCCAACAAGGCCAAACCCACTCCAACAAAGCCACACCTCCTAATAGTGCCACTCCCTTTGGAGGCCATTCTCTTTCAAACCACTGTAGGCCACTACACCCAGCCAACGGCTCCTAAAAAAGCCAGTCTGCTGTTCCCAGCCAGAGTTGCTGCACCCATCACCTACCTGCCACAACTCCCTGGCCCTCCCATCCTCTCCTCACTCACCCCACTGACACCTGCCTGCTATCTGACAGTGCCACTGGCTTTCACTTTGACATCACACAGCTTGTCCCCCATGTCTTGCAAGCTCTGCTTAGCTCTTCACATAGCTCACTCCTGACATGAACTTCGGTGCCTAGCACAGGTGGGCTTGAGTCTGTAACCATGCTGGGTCAGTCAATGACGTTGGCTGGTGTCTGAAAGCCTTTCATCAAACCAGGAGCTATGCCGGGAGGAGCCCATCTCTCCCACTATTAAAAGCCAGTGCTAGGGCCGGGCAGTGGTTTAATCCCAGCACTCGGGAGGCAGAGGCAGGCAGATCTCTGTGAGTTAGAGGCCAGGCTGGACCGATAGCCTCCAAAACAATACAGAGAAACCCTGTCTCGTAAAAATATAAATAAATAAATAAATAAATAAATAAATAATAAAAGCCAGTGCTTACAATAGAAATCAGCACAAAATGGGCTCAACGAATATGTATTGATGGTTATTATTGCTTAAAGGACTGTGCTGCTCACTTTTCTTATTGCAATGACAAACATACGTGGCAGAGGCTGGATATGAGCCTGGCTAGCATTCATGAAGTCCTGGGTTCAATCCCCAGCACCTCTTAAGTGGGCATGGTAATTGACATGTGTAATCCAACTCTCAGGAGTTGGAGGCCAGAGGATGGGGGGCTCAAGACCAGCCCGGGCTTCAAGAGTACATGAGACACTGACTTAAAAAAAAAGAAAGAAAAACTGCAAAGAGCAATTAGGGAAAGAGGGGTTTATTTGGGATCGCAACTGAGGGTGTGGTCAAGCAGGGACTGCATGGCAGCAGGAGCATGAGGTGGCTGGTCACATCACACCTTCAGTCTGGAAGCAGAGTCATGACCGCTGGTGCTCAGCTCACACTCTCCTTTGTCTAGGGCCATTGGCACCACACACGTTCACTGTGGGCCTTCCATCCCCAGTTAAACCTTTCTACAAATGCCTCACAGACACACCCAGAGATGTGTCCCCCAGGTGATTCCAAATCCAGTCAAGCTGACAGTGAGAATGAGTTGTCACAGGGACCGAGCATGCTTTCTGGAGAAGAACGTCTTGGTGGCTCAATAGGAATTTGCCAGCCAGTTCATGGGTGCGGAAATGATGCCGGAGGTGGGGGAACCACCATGTAAAGGCCAGGAGGACACCAGAGACACACAGCACAATGACTCAGTCGGAGCACTCCTGAGCCCAGCTGGTCTCAGAATCTTCAGTCGGATCTAGCCTGAGACGGAGAGTTCCACAATGCCAGGTGACAAGCTGGGTGAGCAGGAAGCTTGCCACCCTTGCTCCGGGATACATCCCTTCAGAAGTGGTCAGAGCAGGTGGGAGGCAGAGGCAAAGTGCACAAGGATGCTAACAAGGAGTCCTAGGACATTGTCAAGTGACAGCGTGGACACTGTCATTCCTGGTCATTTTTATCTAATGACTAAAAGGGAAGCAAATGCTAAGGGGCTGTCCCTGCATAGGACTTACTCGCAAAGTAAGTGTCATTCCACTGTCACCTTCACTCTGCAGGGGAAACCGAGGCTCCTGGCTCCCCACTGCCTTTCCAACACACCAGTGCAGGATGAGAGTTCCTAAGGAAGCGGGAGAGCAGCCATGCCAGGACTAGTATTGCTGGGCAGCACCGTAGCTCGGGCCCAAACTCAGGTCCATTGTTCTGGGTGACTTGGCCCAGCAGTCAGTGTTGTGTAGTGCAGTTAGCACATTCGAGTGTGGAAACCAGAGTGTGTTCCATGGCTCCATGAAGGAAACACTGAACCAGATCCAGGGGGGTAGGGGAGCGGCAGCTGGAAGAGATGCCTCTGTACCCCAGTTCAGTAGTGGTGGGCGTGCTGTCGTGGATACTGGGTCCAGAAAGAGGCAGCCACTAGAGAAAGAATGAGAGAGGGTCATGGCCACCTGTGATGACTGGCAGAGGGCACAGCAAGAGGAATATACTCCCAACACCATGACATACACCTGTCTGGCCACGGCCCCTCCCCCAGTAGACAAATATTTCTGAGAGCGAGGGTCAAGAAGAGCCCAGAGATGGGGTCCACAGAGGTCAGGACACAAAACAGGAAGAGGTACAAAGAGGGGGCTGACAGGACACTCTGGAGCAGGGGTCATCATGGCTCCCTGGCCCTGGCAGCTCCTGTCACAGCCAACTCTGCGGTGGATACCACATGCTGCCAGGAGCCACCTGCAGCCTGTCCCCTTGGACCTTTCACAGTCACCTTGGACTTTGTGGAACACTCACAGGCTATGTATCTTCAGGAATGGGAGTGTGGGGTTGGTTTCTTGTTTTGGTGGATTTAGAACTATGAGGACCCAGTAACCACGAGAGAATGGAGTCCGGGGAGATTCCCACAGATGTGATGACATAATCCCCAGTGATCACTTGCAGCCAAGGGTGGTTAAGTTCACAGCCTTGACTCAATGGGAGCTTCTGCACAAATGTTGGAAGAAGATCTGCTCCAACATGGTGGTGAGCTTGCTCTTGGTGGACCCTGGGCAGTGTAACACATGGAAAAAAAAACCAGTCTGGGTTTTGTACTCTCTGCTGAGCTCTGGTTAGCAAACTAAAGAGACTTATGATTGTGCTAAAGGAGTCCCTGTTCTCTCGGGACTGCAGCAACTCAACCTGTGAAACATGGAATTGTGATACAGACTAAACTTACAGCCCATGAAGCCCCCCCCCCAAAGCAAGGCATTATGTACAGAAGGAAAGGATCTGAACATCCCAAAACCCAGGAAGGGCCTTGTGACCATGAGCCCCACCCTAAGTCTGCAGAAAGAGATCCTACCACACTTGGAAAGTCCTAGGAGCCATCTGAAGTGTCTGTCCTACGGGAATGGCATTCTCCTCCCTCTTAGGCCCCATCATCTCCCACTCCCAGGAACACATCCGCCATAGGAGCTATTTGGTTTTGGGAGGTGATGCTGTATGGAGGCTCAACCCAACAGCCTCCTCTTTACAGGTTTTAAATCAGTTGGGCAGGTCTGGGCTGGATAGGGTTAGGGTTAGGTTTAGGGTTAGAGTAGGGTTAGGGTTAGGGTTAGTGTTAGAGTTAGCGTTAGGGTTAGGGTTAGGTTAGGGTTAGAGTAGGGTTATCGTTAGTGTTAGAGTTAGCGTTAGGGTTATCTATAGCAGCTTCACTCCCAGGCTCCTGTTAAGTAGTGTTTCTTGCTGTTGACTGTACGACTCTCATGGCCAGGAAGAGAGACAGGGACCAAAGACTCGTCAAATCTCCTTCAGTATCACATTTTTTACTGTCCCTTTGGCCAAAGTAAGCTACACAACCAGTGCAAGTGTCAGCACAGGAAGGTGTTACCTGAGGGGGTGGATAAAGGAGAGGGAGGGATTATGGCAGTCTTTTCACCAACCAACACTAAAATGAGTTTGGGTGCTTTGCTAGGATTCATGGTCAGGGCCATGTCCAGCAGGGTCTAGCCTAGGGCCATCAGGCTGCAGACTATTGATCCACCCTGAAATAGATGGCCACACACTAAGGATCTGTTTAATCAACAGCAGAGAAATCCAAACCAGTTCAGCGGCCATTGGTGCAGCTATTTTGACTGAGGGTCACAGCCAAACCCAATCCCAGACCAGGTTCCACAGAATCACAGAATGGCTTGCTCCCCTGGTATGTGTGTGTGTGTGTGTGTGTGTGTGTGTGTGTGTGTGTGTGTGTGTGAGAGAGAGAGAGAGAGAGAGAGAGAGAGAGAGAGAGAGCATTTGTTTAAAAGGCCAAGCCAGCGTCTTGAGCTCTCAATCTTTGCCAAATTGAAAAAGCAAAAGACCAAAGCTCCAAGGGTGCCTCTTATGCCTCTGCAGAGACACATGGAGAGGGAATCTCACCAGGAGGACCCCAAGGACTGTGACTGCGTCCATGTGCTCTCCTTACCAGAGTACAGCTCCTCATCTCCAGCTCTAAGCCAGCAAGTGGGACTCTCATCCAAATCACCCTAGAAGATGGGAGCTCTCACAGGGCTGAGCAAGCAGTGCAGTCTCATGCCCAGAGGCTGCAGCAGAGATGGCCTCATCCAAGGGA